TTTTTGGGTCAAAGAATCATTAGGTTTTTTGTCAGTCAATTAAAATAAAATATGAAAAGATAGAATAATTAGTTTTAATTTAGTTTTAATTTTAATTAGTTTTAGACATATGCGAAAAAACCACACCCACAATTCCACTTCACATGGGGAGCTACATGCTACTTCATCAAGAGAGTTTTTTTTGGTAGGTGTGCCTAATGCAGAACTCCCGTTCATCACCTTGTGACCTACTGAATTCTGAAGATCGCCAGCATGCAAAAGGGCCAAAGGGTGGAGCTAAAGCCAATTTCTACTTCTGCATCAAGCCTATAAACAGTCTACTCTGCACCTAATGTGCACCTCCCAAAATAAGTAACAGTATAGACATCTAAGTTATCACTGAGCAATAGTCTTAGAACCATCTCTAAGATATCTCTAAAATATTTTAAATTGGCAGCTAATTTCTCAGATATGTGCGTAGATATCAAAACATAATAGAAGTCAATAAAGCGGAAGAGCACACCAGCGTTTTTGAAATGACATTGCAGGCAGGCTACATATATAGAAGTGTGAAATCTGGGTGGAGGAGAAGTATTAATTGACTTAAATCCCGGAAGGTTTTAAGCCAAAAATAAACAATGATCCTCAGTTTTCGATGTCTGCAAAACCACACTGTTTGCTTGCTGCAGCGATGCGTCCTATTTACTGACGATTGATAACCCAATGTACTTGAAACCTTGTGTGATATAAACACTTTTGTTTAAATGTTAGCTGTGCATCTAATCATTTAATTATTTTTTTCAACAATTCATTTTATTCTATTAGGATTTATTGTGTTATTTCGAAGCTTCGGTTTGCGCTTATCAATACATCAATGCTTTGAAAACAATTACCGCAAATTATAGGCAAGCCACCCTCTTTGGGAATAAGCTGACAATCATGAAAGCAGCCTTCATTACAGCCTATTGACTTTACTGTCAAGGAGTTAAGCTGGTGAAAAACTCACAAGGTAAACACACGGCGCATCACTGCACAGAGAAAAAAAAAGAAACAATTTAGATGTGAATCGAAATATACCCGTGTTTGGTAAGAATGCGAAGAGCATATTAGGAATGACTATGGAGATTCAATGATTTCATTATTAGGTTTGCTATTTCCGGAATGTTGCAGAAAGCACAAGGTTTGCATGCAAAAGCAAGGAATTGACACACCCTGGTTTTATTAGATTGTCCTCTGGGTGGTAGTGTGGTACAGCTCTTCATACCAGGCTTCCCCGGTGCTTCTTCAAAGAGCCTGGCATTAAAACCTCCACACACTCTTGAAATCTGCTTCTCCTCATCACAAATCTGGGAGAAATTAATCATTGAAATGCATTGCTGAGTGGAGCCCATGACTGTGCTGGATGGTTTTTCAGTCTTTATTTTATTGTTGTCCAGTCATGCCAGAACAACGGTCTCATCCAAGAATCCAGAATCATTTTCACCGTCTTTTGCCACAACACAATGCAGTGTCTGTGCTTCGAATGTGCTTTTCAGGAGAAAAACAAAACTAAAAGGCAATGGCCAGGAGCTGCCAACGACAAACACGTTTTCTCTTGGTGTCCCTCTCACTTCCTCCGTTCATCAATTTCTCGCTCTCACATGCACTCTTTCACCCACACACATGTAAAGCAGGTCATTAGTATGCTTGTTGGTTACCTCTCTTCATCAGAAGTGTAACCAAGCTTTATTGAAAAACATGCCATTCAAAGGGGGTGCTGTCATTTGGAATTACGTTATTTCAAAGATTACTGTCATCTTTTTTGTAAATAAACTATACACAAATACTAGACTCATGTCTTTTTGGTATTTGAAAGAACTGAGAATGTAAGGAGAATGTGTCTTCAGTGTGGATTGCGTACATGACTTGCATAACAAAACGTTTTATATGTGACTGTGAGCTTGATTAGAGGTGCATGCTATTGCTAGGGCAGACTTAGCAGGTGCTGTTGCTTATAAAGTATTTGATTCACTCTCATGGTTTTACTACTAGTGATACTTGAGGGCATACCAATCAAGTTTTTGGCACTAAATATAATAGTTTTATAGCAAAGGTGATCCCTGCTAACATGATGTTTGTTGCTACATTATACTCAATTTGAAGACCACTGGATATAACGATTCAAAAGTCATCAGGATAGTGTTTTTCCCTAAGTTTACAGGTTTGGCGGGAGGGAAATATGGTGTGGGGCCACTCTATGTTCCATGACGCTGGAGAGTGGCATGTAGACTCAGGTAATGCATGTAAATAAAGAACCAAGTGTTGCTTCTTAAAATAAAACAAGAGCTAAAATATAACTGCAAGCAGTTAAAGGCAAAGCGTCTGAGGAAATAGCATCAAACATGAAGCCTTATTTAAAATGTTATGATTTACGACTACAAGGTGCTGCTGTCTTTGGGTCAGCCTTAGGTACTGATGACTCACACCAAGTTTTGTGCCAATATGGGATTGGGTTGCTGAGATACAACTTTGGACTCCACTAGGCAGGATGCCTTGAAATTGACATGACATTTACATTTCATTTACATTTATGTATTTAGCAGACGCTTTTATCCAAAGCGACTTACATTTGGAGGCCATGACCATAATCGGAAACTTTAAACCCAAACAACATAACACAAATACATTTTTGCCAGCATGATCTAAGGATGTTCTGATTAAATTTTGGTGAGAATCGGACAGACGGTTTGAAAAAGTAATTCAATATGGTGTACAGGAACTATGGTTAAATTGGTGTCTTTGTTTTTAACTAGACCCAAGGAAAAGGCTGTTCATGATTTATGACAATAGGCTAAAACTAAAAATAAGCTAAAAATAAAATTAGTATTTGGTGGTGCTGCCTTAAAATCCCTTCGAGGCATGGTGCCAATCATGCCTGAGAATTTTTCCATCTATCTGTCCATTCGTCCATCCCAGGAAGTCAAAGGTTGCAACTATGTAAGATTAATAAACCTATTTCTTAAATTCAAAACTTTGTTTGGAGCTTTCAACATAGAAGCCAGAGCAGGCAACACCCACATTCATTTTGCATCATTCAAAGATGACATTGTACTCTGAATCACGTGCCCAAGGGCAAAACACACATTTTCGCTCAGCTTTCTCTTGCAGCTACATAACTTTGAAAACTTCTCTCAGCTTTTACCTTTCTACATTCTCTCAACAGCAATAACTTTGTTCAGCCTCATAGTACGACTGAGAACATAGAACTGCCCTCACAAACAACTTAGAAACTTCACAAAGATATTCCTGGATCTCTTCCACTGACTCAAGCCATTACTTCTGACCACTTTCCCTTGAATCTGCGATAATTAGATACTACAGCCTAAATGCAGAGTGTATCTAGAACCGTGGCTGATAATTTTCATGATATTTGGTCTAGATTTTGTAAAATACTAGAAATTGACTTAAGGCCTCATCACTCCGGTCCAAATTTTCAGTCAGAAGTTTCGAGTAACAACAAGCCTTGATTTAAATCCATGGGTGCCAATGGGAGCTCACACATCTGACGAAAAAGAGTTTCCTATTGCCATATCCAATCCGTTTTTCACAAGGAGGACAACCAATGAAAGCTGTCACTTTTGATATCGTGAGTGGGACGTAAAATTGCCGCTCATTGATGCTAATCCCACATTTTCATAGCAACTTCACGCAGGAAACAGGAAAGAAATATTGCGTTACAAATCCTCTCTTTTCTCCACATTTTTGTCAAACAGCTGCGATCACCCACCAATAGTACAAACCGCTCGACATCCACAACTTTTTCTTTTGCTGTTTCCCTGTGTGAGGCGGAGGGCATCTGTTGTACTACAAATGCCATCTTGAGGCAGCGAGCGTCATTGCAACAACATTTCCTCGACCCAAACGAAGAGGACCCTGCTGAGAAACCATCTGAAGATTCCTAAGCTATGTTCCTACCATCGACTGTAAGAAAACATGTATGACATGACATCACCTATCAGCAATGAGCAAATATGAGGCAACCACAGGACTGGCATTGGTGCTCTGATTGAGAGGCACACATGCGTACACGCAACGTCCTGTTAGGGATGGAACCGTAATGGTTTCAGAGCTCTGTCAGACTCGCCAAGGCCCCTCTCACACACAGTCTCTTATATACAACTTATTTTACAATCATAAACAAGAATTTGAAGACTCTTCTCTGGATTTAATTGTTGGCAGTGTAATACGTGATAACAGCATGCCAGTCAGTTCAGTACAGTGTAGCTGTGAACCATAGCTGCCACTCACATGTTCCCGCCTAGTTTTTTGGGGGGTAAAATTTAGCCATCATGACCCACACAAAAACAAACTTAAAACAAACAAGCAACAAAAAAAACAATTGAACTTATTAATAACTTTCGAAAATCATTAAAACCAATTCTGTTAAAAAAAAAAAAAAAAAAAACTTTGTGGATATTATCTATGGAAATTATTTCAAAGTTTGGCTTTTTTCTATAGACTTCTATTCTGCAGCTAGCACCATGAAAAAGAAACACTGGTTAATGTTCAGAATGAGGCAGACTTGCTCCTGCTGAGATAGTTCTGCATATATGAGATATTAAACATGTTGCAGCTTGTTAAAGAAAGGCATCTTGAGAGTTGTGTTCTATTTTATTCAGTAATGCAAGGACACATCTCATGGGATTTCCAGAAGACAGTGTATTTTTTAAGTTCTAAACTAGGTATGTCAGATGGGTTTTCAAATGTTAAATAACAACGAGGCTAATATTGCAGTTCTTATGTAAGGGGAGTGATCAGATACATCAATGTTCCTTAGATAATAATTACCAGTTCAAAATGAATGTTTTCTTTTTTTAAGGCTCAGTGAAAATGAAAAAGTTTTCATGACCCACACATAATTCCTTGCTAGAAAAAAATTATTATTTACAGATCATATATGCATTTATATTTACGCATTTTGTAGACATTTTTATCCAAAGCGACATAGATTTACATGAATAAACACATTTTTTGTCAGTTCTTGCTTTCTTCAATTGAACCCATGACCTTTGCGTTGTCAACGCAATGCTCTACCAACTGTGCCACAGGAAAGCTATTTGAAAAGGAAAGCTATTAAACTTGCTTTTTCGCTTGTGTATGCTGGGAGAGGCTTCAAAATGAAAGTAAAAGTGAATGTCGTAGCGTACGAATTGATGTCTATCAGTTGAGATTCATTAGTTCTGCACGTACCAATCCGATATAGCATTGCCTATATTTTCGCTGACCCCACTCGTTCTGTCAGGTGTGTCAGCTCCCCTTGGCACCCATTGTTTTCGAACGAAATGCGATCTTGCACAAAAGTTTGGATCGAAAATTTGGATTGGTGTGTAAAGGCCTTTTGTGAAAGCTTTTATCAGTTAACATCCCTGCCGAAAAAACAAAAACAATTAATAAAGCAAAAAGTACAATGTGAAACCAGCATAACTGTGTCGTACAAACAACTTGGTGGTTTTTCTTTTGAACTTGAAGTGGGTGGCAGTCTCTTTCACACCTCTAGTTTGTTTATTTAGTCCGGACCTAGGGGAACAAATGATAAATTGTTGCAATCCTCTGCAGATTTAGTTCTCATTCTCATCACACTCACTCTCTCTGAAAATAATAACATTATACGGGCCACTCATTGGTTACATACATACATCGTTTGGTTAGAATGAACGCGCACACGGAAATAAATAACTTTTTTTTGACCCTTGGCATACTTTACTTTATCATTTGTATTAATTGCGTATGATGCTCAGATTACAAACTACTCCAAGTTTAACCTCGGGCTACCATGACAACGCTGCCATGTAAACAGACAAGCGCCAACCAATAACTGAATTGGTTGAAAAAGCATGTGTTTGTTGTGTTGACTGTGTTTAGTTGGGATCAGAGTTCGATCATGTTCTCACCACATACGAACCACTCTACATTTTATTTGGAACTAGCTCGAGACCACCTCGATGAGTAGGTCTCGGACTGCTTTTTTAGTTCGCTTTTGATGCGGTTTAGAGTTCGGTTGTTGTTTTCTCCCCTGAATGAATAAATCAATGAAACAAGTTAGGTGTGGAAGCCCTCTACACCTAACACAGTCATCATCTGTTTATACTATATTATCTCTTTATACTACTATATCATCTGTTTATACTATAGTTTATATAAATCACACTTCTGTTGTCGACCAAATGAGGATGGGTTCCCCTTTTGAGTCCAGTTCCTCTCAAGGTTTCTTACAAAAGGGAGTTTTTCCTTGCCACAGTCGCCCCAGGCTTGCTCACCAGGGACATATACACCACTTAGTAATTAAGTAATTTCTGAGTTTAAACTTGTTGGTTTACTGTAAAGCTGCTTTGAGACAATGTCTGTAGTAAAAAGCGCTATATAAATGAACGAACTTGAACTTGAACTCTTACACTCTTTTAATTGGGTAAAGCAGCTGCTAATCACAACAAAAGTTTTTTTTTTTATGGCGGTGGGTGCACATTAGTCATTGTTTGGCATGTCAATGTATTTGATGAATATATGTGAAACACTGAAACAATAATAGATCAGTCACTTCCCACAGAAGCAGAAAACATCATCTGTACGTCTACAGCTCCTCATTGTCATGCTACTGTAGCTTCAAATGGAAGCGGCACTTTTGGTGATGTGGTGGGCGGTATTGTGTGCTAGTGATTTGATCTCACCGACGCGCACACATTCACAGAACATCCTCCATATGGTTACACATGATGGCTTCCCAGAATGACAGAACCTATTCTACCATCTATTCCCTTTCATTAGGTTCAATAACGAGATACACCCTTGGAGATACGTTACAAGACTCCTCCACCTCACTCTTTCTCTGCGGTTTTTCTCTCCTTTTCACCCCTCGCTCCACATTCTGGTCACGTATTCAATTACTCCTGACTTTATTAGGTACTTATACGTGGATTTAAAGGGCAAATAGATACTTACTACAAAAAAGGAAATCTATTTTTACCTCATTTCACAGTGTGCATCCCAGAGTTTGTGTTTATTCATTTCAGCGGCTCTATCTCTGCTCTAGCTTCAGTGTTTTACAGTGACCCGACAGGACCAGTCACATGACACTCAGCTTGACTTCATTATGCCCGATCCTCAGTGATTCACCCGGGGAAATGCTTGTTATGAGGAAATATTCAAAGCGGCAGCAGGACAGACTCATTAAAAGACCTTAAAAGTGACCTGGCAGATTATGTAACAGAGACATTGTCGACGTGGTAAACACTGTTGGCTAGTAATAAGGCTGCCAGTGTAGGGGCAAATTCACACGAGCGAGCTTATTTATTATGCAATATGATTTTAAACACAACTTTGATGTTATAGAACATATTCATTCTCTCAGAAACATGGAGAGTTCAGTCATTGATTGGTTGACAGATGTATTAATTGGGTATTTATTAATTAATAAAGCATATCTCAATTGTTTATTGTGCTGAGGAGATTTACTTAGATTTTTATTAGCTACCGTGAAAATTTAATCAGTGCATTTTCCAACTTTTTACAAGGACGATGTTGTTCGAACACTTATTTAAACTCCATAATGAAATTGAGGTTAATTAACTTAAATCACAAAATCTTCAGTTTGCTCAAATTGGGTGAAGCGCTCCGCACATTGAGGAAGAATATCAGGAAGTAAATTAATTCAAAAGCAAGTTAGCAAATACACAACACATAACTCAAAACACTAATGTGTTGACTCTAAACCATAACAAACAGGATTAAGAACAACTCAAATACTCCTTGTATTAAAATCAAGTTGAAATAAACAAACAATAATCAACCAAATGCAAAGGGGTTGAGAAACAATAAAACAGATGAATATACTGTTAATACAAGGACCTAGTGCCAAACAAGTATATAATTCACCAAACAAACTAATCAGCACACAAGTTCACACAACACATACATATATACCAACTAAACCAGTCCCTGAATTGTTCCATGATGGCCTGAGCTAAAAGTAAACGTGACGAAAGGACGTTGATAAACTAAAAGGTGAGCTGTAAACGAAACATACGACTGCTGTGGTAATCTAAAGTGTGAAACAATAACGAAGCTACTAATACACTGATAGTGGAAGAAAACTCAGCTAAGATAAGAGTACTTAACCCAAACCTGAGAGTTTGGAAGAAAGGGAGAACAGGGGAGATGAGTGCTTTCTAGCAGCGGGTGAGATGCTGCACTCTGGGAAGTGACACACACGGAAACTCATGAAGAGATTGCTAAGATCTCGAACTACAAACTCAAAAAAGATCACGTACAGAGATCACGGACTGGTAGAGCGGAGCTGACGTGGGTCTTAAATAGTCCGCACCTTGATCGGTAAACACATGACGTCATCAATCTCACGCACCCACATAAAATAGTTAAGCACATAATAAAACAAAATAAATAATTAGAACACACGGGGTTGTAACAACACCCCAAAACGTCTATATCTAGAATTTGTTTGAGCACCGTGACTTTTTAAGAAGCACCAAGTCTTCTAAGCATGGAATGAACAAGACGGCGACATTTGCAGAATCTATCTTTTTCCATTCTACAGCCTCTTTTGTAGGGTGGAGCTAGAAGGAGAGCGATGCTAAACTTGTTGCTTCAGAATTCCTCGTAGATGTGTATTTTAAATTGTGTTGGAAAAGTGCCTGGAGCCATGGCAGCATCTTCTCCTTCACTTAGATCGGTACACTGTTGAGTTCATGATACCATCAATGAAATGCACTCCTGCAGGCCCACATAATGACACTGCCACCACCATGTTTCACTGTAGGCACCATGTGCATTTCTCACCATCCACAGAACTGCTCACATTTACGACGCCACACAGTTTTAAAACCATTAGTTGCAAAAACAGTGATGTTTGCCTCATCGCTCCAGAGTGTAGACTCCCAGAAGTCTTGTACAACATAGCAAGTTGATACCCAAGCATGCCAATCCTCTGCTGCCATTGGTACCATTAAAAGTGGTCACTTCAGTTTGGCTTTCTACTACTGCAGTGAACTTGCAGGTGATTTTCTTCAACTGTACAGAAGACACTCCTGTCCGGATGTTAAATCGGTGGACGGCCTGGGCATTTCTTCAAGATGGTTGCACTTCCATGTTTTGAATTACTTTTGCTATAGTATTTTGACTAGAAAGCTTTGCTGGTTTTCTTGTAGCCCTCATCTTTTTGTGTTAAGAATTTATTTCCTTTCTCAGATTTTGTGACATTTTTCTTCTATGGGGAGCCTTTGCTGACAGCATCGCTGGAAAGGGCACACGTCAAGAGGCTTCCAGCGCAGATCAGGCAAGAGGTGGGGGAACACCCTGGACAGGTCAGCAGTCCATCACAGGGAACACGTTCACACCTAATCACGGACAAGCCTCAAACCAGCAACCTTCTACTGGAAAGCCACATTGCTTTTTTTGAAAAAAAAAAAAAAAAAATCACAAAGAACTTTATAAATGTTTCTTTTTTTATAGTTTGATTGAAATGTGTTGCTTTTTGACCATGTGAGTAAATTATGATAAATTAGAAAGAGAATCATCCCACAGAAAGGTCCCCTTCTGCAACTATTATTATATATTATTATATATATGTATATTATTATAACTTCAAAGCACATGGTGAAGAGTGCTTGGTTTTAATCATTAGCATCTTTTTCCATAAACAAATAATCAATTGCTCAGTCAAATTTCCCTCGTAGTCGTGTGATTTTCATGTCTTCAGATCCAGCTGGTCTCTTGTGTGGTGGCATGGTCCCCATCATTAGAGGTGTTGCATTGGTGGTGACTTCATCAGAGCCGATGGCACTGAACTGTGACTAAGTGCAGCGTTACTCTCCTCCTCTTCATTAATTGAAGAGGCAGAGCTGTTGTGCGTTGGTGTTATGGTACGAGAGAGTTGGCCACACAGAGCTCGCTGTCATGCTCTCTAACATGTGAAACATACAGTAGGATGAGTCTGGTTGAATCACAGTCTCTCAAAAACACGTCATCTGTCTCATTATAGATGTTCTTCATGTTCATGATCACTTTCTAACATTGTACCTTTATTCCTAGCATAAAACTGATG